AGAGCTGCCAGCTTTCTGAGCCAACCCTCCTAACCCCTAACTGCAGCAGCAGTCCAGGGCACAGCGTGTGCTAAGGCTCCACTCCTGCTGATGAAGCCAGGCTCCAGCACCGTAAAGAGGAACTAATTATCCTGGACTCAGAGAGTTTGTGCTAGGCATACATCAAAGTTACACAGCACATCCAAATGCCCCATTTAGAAGGCTACCCATGAGAATACCAGCATGGAAAAGACTGCAGCTGCATGGGCTGCGATGAAATTCACAGTGTCACTTCCTGCAAAACATCACTGCAGCAACAGTGGGGGTTTTCGTGTTCCAGGATACACACCTGATTGGAAACTGTTTAGATTTCTTCTATTTTCTCCCTTATGAAAGAGGAAGATATTTAATATTTAATTAATTTTGAAGTTGGCACTGACTAATATCCCAATTAACAACACTGAAATCCCTCATGGTACTGTTCTGTATATGATTCCTAAATAATACTGGAACATGCCAGAAAGAAATAAGATTATACTGATCATGTCCACAATATGCTAAATAAGCAGCTTCAAGTTTGCTTAGAAATTGTTGATAAGTAATCAAGCTCAAAAGACTTAAAAACTGCTTAACAGAAAATCTATTTGAATTCATGCCTACCAAATGACAGCCTAAAATTAAGAGAAAAAGGGAAGAAGATCTTTTTAATGCATTAAGACAAGGTTGCCTTTTCTCTATTTCACACAATAATATAACGCTACAGATAAACACAACACTACAACCACATTCAAATGCTTTTATAGAAAGACTCTTTGGATTCTTGGTCCTGCAAACTCTGCTCTGTTTCAAAATGGAAAACAATTGTATTTCTAGGTTAATGAGGAATGATTTTTCTCAGCTGAAACCTGGAACCAAACTTCCATCATCAGACATGCCCAATAAAATATCATCCAGCTGACTTGTATGTGGTTTCTGTAGGAAAAAGAGTCACTCTGCAAGTCTGATTCATATCCTATATTCATACAATAGATTCATACATTTCAAACATTCACACACTTTTAGATAAGAACACAGTAGGGATATCAGAAACATCTAAATTCCTCTTAAAATGACTTAGAAATGTCAGTGCTCAGCAATAGATGTGCTCTCGTGTGCAGAGGAGTAAAAATACATACTTGAACCCAAGATTCTCCAGTTCCTGAACTGTTATCTCCAAGAGAGTAAACCTCTAGAGTACATCTCCACATGACACATTTATCTAAAGTGGCTGCACACATATAATGATGGCTTTTGTTTAGTGATCATGGTCATTCTGAGTTTGTATAAATACTGCAGCCAAATGCTTATAAACTAATCCCAGAACATTTTGAAATGCTTCAAAGCTTTTAGTGGGGGAACCTCTTGCATAGGCTTTGCAGATGAAGCTGACCACAGTTCACTGGAACCAGCCAGCTCAGATAAGTAAGATGAAAGCAGACATTTCCTGAAAATATCTTGAAAGCTTTCCATTAGTCTGTGCCAGGGGTATACACTAAAAACAGAAAGTGCCCATGCTTGTATAGCAACCAATCCTCCCACTGCTTTCTCCATTCTTGAACTACTGTATTTATATCTATTTATCTGCTTCATTTGGTATCTTGCAAAGTTCTTTGGCAGAAAAAGATGGAACTTCTGCATTCTAGTTTACAATATATTATAAAGCAGCTATTACTAGAACAAAAAATTCTATTTAACATACTAAACAATGTAAGAGGAAGAAGCCAAAATCAACCAATGCCAAAATTACTACAAATTACAAATAAGTAAGAAATTTGATATAAAAGTAATTTTTAAGAGTCATCCACTCCATGACAGGCATGAATACCACTGTTTGAACATACAGCTCTGGCTGTCCAAGTGTACTCTAACAAGGTCGATTCAGCATTGCTGAATGTGCTATATTCATAGGAGTGCCTCAGGCTAGATTTTCAATAAAGGCAGACACTGGCTGTGTTCATATTTTATACAATAACTTGATTGAATATAAACAACTGTTCACTAGGCACATGAAATATTCCACTATTGAAACTGCCGACATTTTATACTTTGAGACATGTCACACTGTCCAGTTCCAGGCTCTTTATTTCAATGAATAAGAAGCCCAGTTTTCTTTCTTTTGTAGTCAGTAGACCCAAGGGCACATAAGTACTTTCAGCAGCTTTTCAAGGATCTGCAGACTATGAAGTGCACCTAGGGTCTAATTTAAGCACCAAAATTAGGCATTAATGATATCCATCACCATGTATCCTACAAAGAGTTAATAAGCACACTCAGAGGATAGCACAATCATATCATAGTACACTAGAATCCAATACAGCCATAATGCTAACAGTTATTCTGTCCAGTACCTTACACAGAAAGGGTTGGGGCACTCTGAAAGTGCACTGTGAAGTTAAGTACACCAAGTCCTCAGCACTAGCCATATATGTTTGAGAAGGAAGTGGTGAGCCACAACATTGATGCACAAAATAGGGTGCAAGCAAAGTCCAACAGTTGCTACTTGAAACAAAACAACCTTGCCCTCTTTCATACAAAACAAAAAATAATTGAAGTCTTAGATTTTTTGAAGGAAAACCTGAAAACCAAGCCCAACCCGCCCCCCTGCAAACCCTGCACCCTGGGATACCTGTAGTGTGGTGTGGCACATACCTGGAAAGAGCAAGCATTACCCTCTACCAGGATGCTGCTTATGCAGCTTTACTGATTAGTGTTAGCAGTAAAACGGAATCAACAGAAATGTGATTTATATGTCATACCTATGTCTGAAGCCAGGTCAAGACCTGTGAATAAATGTGAAAAGTGTGGCTGAAGCTACTAAAGACTTCCTCTGACTCAGGTCCCACACAACTCAAAGATCTAAATAACAGCAGATGTGCTACAATGTGCATAATGTCTCAGTACAACTAAGAGAGAAGACTTTAATAGGGTGTAATTCTTTTAATGAGAATAATTACCAATACCTTGGCAGACTGCAGGTGGTGAGAAAGGGCCTGAGTGAGGAGCTGTGAGGGGCTGTCCTCATCCTCAGTACCCTTTCCCTACACAATCCTGGCAGGACTAAATACTGAAGCTTTTCCAAATATTCAATAATTTCCAAATAATTAAAGTTCTACTTTAATCTTTCTGGAAATAATGTAACATGCATAATCTTATTAGAGGAATCTTAACATTCTATCCCACCTGCATTCTTCCACATGCTCTCCTAAGAGGCAGCTGAGAGTTGTTAAAAATCTCAAGATCATGAGCTTGTAAGAACCTTACAATAAGCAGAAATCAGCAGCGGTTTTATTTGATTTCACTAATATTATAAATAAAATCTAGTCTTTTTAATGATCAAATGTAATTAATTTCTCTAGGGATGGACCTTTAGTAAGCAAAGGTAAAAAAGAGACTTGCTTCTCTGCTTATACTGACTACCACCAGGACTGCCTACTACTTGTATAACATTTTAAAGCAGCTGTAAAACAATCATTACTTATGTAAACATTTACAGCTCATCATATGCAGAGACAGCGACATATTTTAACTTCTGATCAAAAAGAGACACCATTTCCTTAGCTGTACAGAAACTACTTGAAAAATTCATAAGATCTGTTTCACAAATTACCAATTCAACCATACGAATATATAGTAAAAATGACAAAAGATTTGTTCTTATAGTTGATAAAAAATTTATGCCAAGGCATTCAAGTAAAGTTACTTTCTGTGTTCTGATTTAATGAATCATTTGAGCGGTATCTGGCTGGGTGACACAGATGTAAGGCTCGCTGAAGCCTGCTCTAATGCCTGCTGGTACCATCTTCCTTGGGACAGCAGAGCCAGAACAATGTGTCAGACTGAAGTAATATCAAGGAAAGTAAGTGCAGTGCTGGGCATGCCGTGAGGCTGGCCCACAATACTTCCTGACCTGTGAATGTCTCTAAGTACCTCTCTGTCCTACAGGCTCCAGTGACCCAGGAAGCCCAAAAGAAGCAGCAGCAGCACAGTCATGAACAGACTCAGAAATAAAGATTTTTGCAATCTCGTAATTCATGTTCAAGATATACAAAGGCTGGTTGATGGTTTAACCCTAATGGAAGGCAGAGTCTGACACTGTGAAACCACCAGGGATTTCTTAAACATTTAACATTAGTTCACCTTTTAATACAAATTTGTCTGCTCAACACAGACTGCAAAGTCTGTGTCTTTAACTTCAGAAATGTACATGAATTTGCAAAATACTAATTAAAGAACTAAACTGATGCATATGAATACAGCTGTTACAGCTCATGCTTCTGTGTAGAAGCTTACTGAAAGACACTGTAATACAACCAGGCTTCCCATCAGGGAAATAATTGTAAAGAATTTAATTCTACAGTAAGTAAAACAAAGCTAAGGAGGACTGTAGGCACTGTAGGACTTAACCAACAAAGTACTTAACCTCAAAAATAAAATACTGTGCTTGGGAGGAATTCTGCTAAAAGAGATTTCCCCTCTAAAGGAAGTTTGCTAGAATGCTTATACCTATTTAGAAGCACACATATCTTTATAGAAAGAATTTCAGTTTAATCATAAAAGTGAAAACTTTTAAGAAATTAGAAGCAAAATGAAAAATTAAAAGCCTAACAGTTATGTGAAATCCAAATACTACAATATACATGTTATTTTGTCCCAGTGTCAGAGAGGGAAAGAATGTATGTCAGAAGCAAATGGAAGAAGGTGAATTATACTCCCACTTCATCTGGCAAGGCCTCTTTAAAACTCCCTAAAGCCTAGCTTTACTTTTTTATTAACATAAATTTGTCCATTGATAACATTTGATGCAAGGAGGACAATTTTGTTTTGTCAAGACAATTTTGTTCATTTGCATGAAAGAAATATTTCTGTTGATTCCAGTTAGTTCCATTAAGTCTTTCTTTTCTTTTACCTGAAAATTACATCTTGTTCCAACATGCTAATAAGACAGTTGCACATAAGAATATTTGACATTTAAGGGTACTTACACAGATAACAAAACAATAGCAATGAGAGTCCATTCAGGCATTTTGTGAATAATATTTCTGTTTGTTAACCTGAAAAATAATTAAAAAAATGTCAGTACATTTAAGTTAAAAGCAAGCAGATTTTAACAGCTGAATTTTAAGTCTACCATTAATACACTGTGTTATAAAGAAGCAATTACAGCTGTATCTGAGCAATTCACCCACTCTCAAGCTTCTGTCATCCTCTAAAGGAGGAACTGCAGAATTTCCAATATTGTCTTTTATTTTATATGAAAGTGGGATGGGAAGACTGAACAGAGGCTATTTCTTTTAAATTGCTCACAAATAGTCCTGGCTGCTGTAAGGACCCAGCTCTCACTCAAACCCCTGGTAAATTCTCCAGAACTGCATGTGAGTTTGTGAAAAGATGGACCTTCTTACACGTAGTTTCCCTCCTGTTGGATTCATATCCAGATTTCCTGTAAAACTGATGTGGACACAGACTGAATTTTATAAGGTGGCCGTGACAATTCTCCAATGATTCTTGTTTTTAAAATGGAAATCCACAATTCTGACTTATGCAATGGGAGCCAGAGCAAATATAAGAGCCATATACATATAAATGAAGTGTGAATAAAGAACCGCATGGGTGTTCAACTAAACTGCTGCTGCACTGGATATCAGCTGACTCCTTTGGCTGAACTGCCTAAAAAAATAGATCTGCTTTAAGTCAAGTACTAATCTGTGTTACAACAATTCATCTGTGAATTGCTGTCTCAATTTAGGCATGACCCTTGGTCAAAACAAGCAATTTCATGGAAAAGTCACAGTCAAAAATGAAGCTGTGGCTATGCAGGTACTCAAAAGAGCAAGCAGAATTAACTGTATTCAGAAAGATGGCACCATCCAACAGATAAACTGAGGGGCAAGTGCCTCCCTATGTTTGCTTCCTTCTTGCTTTCAGTTTCCCTTCCATGACCTTGTACAAATTCAGATCCAGAATGAAGATACCCACCCTGTCACTCATACCCACTCCTACAGGCACTGGTGAGGATAGTTCATTTCCAGCAAGCTCCTATTTGGCAACAAATTCAAATCCAGGGTTTTCTTCCTCAGTAAGATTACTTTAAAAAAAAAATTACTTTGGGCAAGTATATAGTTACCCAAAAATAGTTCACCATTTCCTGTATATACGTTTGGGCAAGTATATAGTTACCCAAAAAACCAAAAAAGGCTAAAATTTGAGAAAACAGAACTATTTGTAGTTGTCATTGTTAAAATTCAAATTCTAATAAGTAATTCCCTAAAATTATTTTCAAAATGGTCATTAATTGTAGTTATCAGTAAGATCACTTATAGTATTTGTCTGCATTTCTCTATTTTAGAAAGATATTAAAAATTAATAAAATAAATTTGTAAGAAACAAAGCAATATTATCCCATTTTTCTCCTCAAATCTTCAAGTTATCAAACCAGAATAAGATACTGAAGCAATAATTACTCAAGTAGTGTTCCAACAATCTGAATTTTATTCTATTATGAAAGGAAAAACAATGTTTTGCACTACATGCAAAGGAATTGTCAGATCAAACCAGAACCAAGAGTTGTGGCAACTACTGATTATATTTGTTATTAAAAGGTTCATTTTAGTAATTATTATTTGAAATACCTAATGGATTTAGCTGGTAACAAAGTTTGTACCTGGTAAATTGTTACATTTTTCTGGCTATGGAATAAGAGACAAAACAAAGGCTGAACATCTTGACTCAACACTGATGACAGTGATAAACACTACCAAGAAATGCCTGATGGAATCATCTTGACAGGCAATTCATATGTAACATTCCAGTTAATCTGTTATGATGAGACATAATGAAAGAGACAGCTCCAAGCCACCTGGGGAAACTCTGTCAAATAGAGAAAGCAGCTTTATTTCAATGCTTTACAAGGAGTTATTATTGATTAGAGCACAGGAAGGTGTCATTCTTGTACATAAACTGAGAGATGCAGTTATTTGTGTCAATTAACTCCTACTCAATGTTAGTATTGATTGGCAAGGTCTGAACACTAGTCATTGCCATCAATATGCTATTTCTGAAGGAGGTAGACAAAAGACACAGATAACCAGCAGGACACAGCAGTATGGATCTGCTGATGTACTACAGTCACTGCACTGAACGAACAGTCAGGCTTCTGCAACTGAGTAACCTCCCAGTACAACACCTGTCCTAAAACACTTGTGCAGCTGGGAAAAAGCCAGTTCAGAGAGATCAGAGTAAAGCAAGCAACCTACAGGTGTGAAGCCTTAAATAATAAGGAGCAGTGGAAGGGCAGTCACTTTCAAACAGGCTTTTGTGTCAACACCAAGGCCTCTGAAGAGCAAAGTTTTCTGAAAACAGGGAACTGCAGGGCCACTGTAAAAATGGTTCATTAATTCTTTGTCTTGCCTCTAGCCAAAACTGTTACTTCAGAACAATCCATGAAAGAGGTCACTAGATTTCAGACCTAAAAATACAATGTGGAAATGTTAAAGCTGTACAAAACTTTGTGTGTGTGATTTTAGTTCTGCAGTGAAATCTTTTCTGTTAAAGAGTTTGGCCAAATTCTCCCTCACTTACCTAGAGAAAGAAAACAATATGCAACTTCCCAAAATGGAATGTGCCCACTTTCTTGGCCTGTGCAGGGCAGGATATGCAAGCTAGGAAAGTTGGAGGATCTCAAATAGCTGTGCAGGTTGCTTAGTTGCTGGTCTGTGGGCACCCAGCAGGACCCACGCGGTTTTCGCACTGTGAGGGAGCCCGACTGAGCACATGGATCCAAGTGACAGAAGCTTCCAGGATAAAGGACTAAAGAGCAAGATGCATAAAAATTCCATCTCAAATGACCTCCTGATAACTGACTATTGCCCAGCCTGCAAAGCAAGGGTACTCCAACAGGGAAATTGTAGGAATTCAGAGTAAATAAAAACCCAGCATCTTTGCAAATGCAGCAGTGTCTCCTTCCTACATCCAGAATCCCAGGTTTGGGCATATATAACCGCAGCTCAAGGATCTGCCCATTCTGTAAATCTGCAAACTGACTTCATGGCATTAGGATGCAAAGTTGTGACTTTGGGGATCTCAGCTACCAGTATTTTTTCCAAAACTTGCACTAAGATGAGTGAAGTTTAACTAACCCAGGGAAGCACAGGCAAATACTGAAACATATATTAGTTTTTTTTTTAGGTTTCAGCTAGACCAATTTAACCATAAAAGACAGCTTTTCTACCTCCTGGAAAACAGCAACATATTTACATACTGTAATATCATTTAGTTTGATGACAACCAGCAAAAAAAGTTACTATTTAACTTTAGGCTTCTTTTGAGAGAAGCCTAATTACTTGAGAAGACATCATTAACTTCTTGATACTCCCCTATTTCCACACAGAAGACCAAGTACTACGGATTGACTTGAAACCCGCAATTTAAAATTCCACTTAACAAGGGTAATACATAAAATAGGTATAAATAAGTGTATATACCAGACAACATATATTCATGATACATACTTAAAATCTAAAAGACTCTCTTGGACACATGATAAAATCAAATTGTAATAAGAAGTCTTGAATACATCTCACATTTATTTCATTGGTAGAGTTCAACGTCAATAATAAGCTCCATAATCGGAATTAAAATACATGCAACCATAAAATTCAGATGGAATCTTATTTTCAATATGAAGTATTATGCCTTAAAAGAACCCAACCACACATTCAAAATTATTTATCCTCAATTTATACATAAGAAGCTAATTTTCTCTTGATCTTTTAACGAAGTGCCCTTACACACTCTGGAGAATTATTTGACATCTCAGTTTTCGTAACAAAAGCTTACAGGCACTGAGGGACTTTGTTTGGGAAGAGCTCTAACCATTCTAAAATGTCTCTTGAGATCCCTCTAGTGTGTTTCTTAGCAGTGGTGATTGAATAAATGCTGCCCAAAGGAGGTTGAACTGCAAGTGTTCCTTTAAAAACCAATGGAGCTGAAAATTGTTGTTGCTTAGTTCACCACATGCTCTTTTACCCTTCTTCAGCTAAGCTCTACTACAGCCATGTGTTTTACCTACTAAATGGCAAGCTCTTCAGCCTGAAATATCTTCAGTACAAAAAGCAGAAAAGAGCACGAGCATTCATCAGTGCTCCTCCATTAAGCATTTGAACCACATTAACAAAGAAAGTAACATTTGAATTTCTATACACTGTAAATACAAATACCATTTAAAATTTATCCAAGTCTTCCTGCCAAAGCATTCAATCCAAAACTTAAGAGACTACTAATATTAAATAAACTTAAACCTACATACCAAACTGGAGATTCAACTCTATGCCTTCATCTTAATATCCATGAGCTAGCTCTTATGTACCAACAGACCCTTCCACGTATTACTGACGATACAGTAATGCAAGACAGAAAAAGAGCCCAAAGAGTTTTTATTCTTCCCCACTTCCTGTATTTTTGTATTATTTTGCTATCAGTGACAACAAAACTCCAGTTGTTTTGAGATATATATATTAAGGCTTTTAATTTTCTTGTACAGCACCCACAAATGTCTTCAACCATCCCCCAACCAGAATCCTGAATTTCTAAGCCAATCTTCACAGTAGGAGAACTCCAAGAAGTTGCTACCATTACCTTCAACTTATTTCCTAACAAAAACAACACACAAAAAAAAATAACTCACTAAGTGTTATCTAAGAGATCAAAACAGATTATGAAGATCTTTAAGGGAGACCTTTAAATTATGATGAATTACTGCTGCATGAACAAGGTATTGGGTTAAAGTCCAAATAAAATGGATTTGGTTCTATTCTATAAACCCACAAGTTTGTATATATATATATACATATACATGTATCTGTTTTAGAAATCTATTTTGGTTTCAAGTCTCATTTGCTTTTATAAACCACCGAAAGCTTTATATTCATGCCCCATTTTCTCTAAATAGCAAAAATAATTTAAAATAGAAGCTCTGTTTTTGAGAATTTCCAGGCCTTCTTAGATAATCTATCATAAAAAAATAGTTTGAAAGACACCAAATGTAGTTTCTTCAGATTTATCAATCCATAAGCTAAAGTGACTATTAAGCATTTAGACTGCAGAGCAATGAAACTGTTTTAAGACACAAAGGTCTTACTCAAACAATAGGTATCTATACACTTTATTCAAAAACATTTTCACTGTTTTCAGTGGTGTTGTTAAAATAAAAGGTAAGTCAGAACTTAAAAGATTGCAGTCACAGAAACAAATTCAAATAGTATAAATATTTTTATTTAAAAGAGATCATGCACAGAATTACCAGAAAGGAAGAGAGAATCTTCCACAGTAAGAAATCTTGCAGAGACATCTCTTTTTTGGTGGCATCCTTCCAGACGTGGTGTAAATCATAAGAAATTGGGTACAGCTGGGTTTCTATTCACCAAATCCCAGATTCCTTGTGGCAAATGCTCCATTAATGAGTTTTGGAAAATTTACATGTAAATCTCATGCAGGTTGAGGATGTGGGAACGACATTTCAAGAGTGACAATGTTAGCAACTGCTACTGCTCTTTTTCTGACAATATTTGAGGATTTAGGACACAATCTAGGTCCAGGTTATGAGAGCTGTCTCCCAAATAAAACCTAAAAATTTTCAGAGAAGTTACCATTCTGTTTTCCCTCCTTCTTTATCTCACTCTTTCCAAATACTGATTTTAGTCCTACTGACTGAAGCAGAAACTTCACCTGTGGTGATGAAAGTGCTCACTAGATCTACTTCCCTTTGAAATCAGGAACAAAACAGATCCAACTGACTGACTCTAGAAGTTAGTGTTAAAAATTATTAATCAGATTCAAATCATTTAGCCCAGCTGCAGGGAGCTAGAGCAAAAGAAAGGGACAGATCTCAGAAACTCACGCTTAATAGGAGGTGACGAGGTAGCAGAACCTTTAAAAGACTCACCAGCATCCTCCAGAGACTACTGGCCTAGATTTTAAAAATCTACAAATACTCCTGGTGACCTAGTCACTGTCAAGAGCAGGGAAAGGGCTGACTTATTAGTCCACAGGGAATACAATGTTACCTAAATGAACACACAGCAAAAGAAGGGCAAATCTGCAATAGGGCCCTCTCTGTGCCCAAATCACAAATCATTCAACAGTATGTTTAATTCATCAATTTATAAAAATCTCTAAGTAAAGACCAATACTCACCGGAAAGTTTTGACAAGATTTTTTAACTCTGTGTAAACATCACTTGAAGCAATCTGAAGAGGGCCCAAAACTGCAGATAATCTAGAAGAAAAAAGACACCAGTCAATATACATTTTCCTCTCTTTCTCATTTCTTCTGAAGTAGAACTTACACCAAAGCTTATCAAGGTTAGTAAAAAAGAAAAGAGATTTGCCTTCTGTGCAGCAGATCAGGCCTGTAGTTTTCATTTCAGCTCTCTGTGCACTGTTTGGGCCAACATCTTCACTTCACAAACGCTTGTTTTTAAAAATAAGAAGCTCTAGTTCTGTGTGAATATGAAGATTTAAATATAGTTCTACTTACTAGTTTGACCTTTCAGTTCTGAAAAAGTATGCTTACAATTATGAGGATTAGAACTACAGGCCTTATACATTTTTTTAAGGTTTATATTTACTTGGCTCAAAAATAACAATACAAAAGGAAACTGCAAGTCTAAATGAGGTATTCACACATAATATACCTGCTAACCTCAGACTCACACAGATGCAACAGAAATGTCAGTCCACTGTGAGCTTGACAGTTGAAATCTAGATGATAGTTACCAGAAAATTTCAAAAGAGAGTAAAAGACAGGATTCCTCTTTACTTATCTGTGCATAAAAAAGATAGCCACACAAACTGCGCATCCTCTTTAACTAGTTGTCAGGATTCCCAAATGATGGAAATAACATCCTTTGTTTTTCACATTTAGGATTAAACTTTTGCCTCTATTTACTCATTAAATAGTTAAAATTCTCTTGCATTTGAATATCCAGTGATTTGCATTTATATGCACATAACACATACTGCATCAGTATTCTTGAAGATTGCATGCTTTAAAAAAAATGAACACAAGGATTCTCATGATACTGGGCATATTCATTGCTTTATCACAATGAAAATGATCTCTTGATTGCGACAGAACAACTGCATCAGCTCAGGAAATTTAAAACAATCGACATTAACAGACAAGACACTTGGGGGATCATGTGATTCCATGTTTGTGGCCTATCCACACATGGTGCAGGCAGAGAAAAACAGAAAGGATTTTCTTTTTATTTTGGCAGGGATGGGGGTGTTAGTTGTGAGTTTTTTAAGTTAAAAAAACGGCTTCTGCAAAACTTAGTTTGGTTAGGTAACACAAACTACAATGACAGAAAATACCCCTACCAAAACCAACAGAATCATGACCTTCAAACTCATTTATCTGCACTGCCTTGACAATGAGAAGATTTTCGAGGTCCTCTCAACTTTGACAATTTAGTAATTCTAACAGCTACATCAGAAATGTGACTCCAAAGCCCTTTTATGTATGTGAAGAAGGTCTGATGTTTGGAAAGTTTTAAGATCCAATTCTGAGGACCTTTAGTGGTTATAGCTAGGGGCATTCTGATACCAGCCATCCAAACATGCATTAGAAACTCTCTTTGTAAGACCTATGCTTAAACAATTACAAATATTTGTTTACAACTAACAGTATGCTTAATGTACAAGACAAATATTTGAACTCCTCTCAATCAATTTCAAGTTTTTAAGTCTAAACTTAAGCAGTCAGTAACTACAAACTTTGCAAACTGGCACCTGCAACTGTACTACAGCTGACTGTTGCAGAAATAAGTAATTCCTTTAGGGCAATAATGGATTTAAGTTATGACTAGGGCCACCTAGAAAGAGCCAGGCCTATCCTTGGATGTGTTTGTTACTTCCAACAATGATGAAGGAGCACCAACTTCAGACTGACATTCACCAAAGTATAGGGTACTTACGCTTTTCTCAGTTTTTCAAGGACAATTCGCTTCCTAATCTGCATTTGTGCATTTGAATCAACAAGTGGGAAGGTGAGATCTTCCTGTTGATCATCCTGCATTAGACAAGAAACTTTTAACAGCTATAATCTAGTGTTTAACTGAAGGCAGTACATCAAAAAAGTCACAAATAATCAATAAATATTTAAGCATTAAATAACTCTTAACTACCAAAAAAACCAACCCCAAACTACTTTCTAATGGGCATACACTTGCATAATCTGATGCAACATACAGTATGCAGCTAACAGAGTTTTCTCTTTCTCCATGTGAGGTATTATCTACTTATGATAGCAGAAACAAAGTACTAATTCTTTGAAGGTCTATTCAGGCTTCATACAACCTCCACACTGTTACACCAGACCCTTACTTTGTCTTTGCTTGGATGTTCCCCTGCTTGCGCTTGTGTCGCTGCCTCTTCAGCCAAGATGCACCTTCCTTTGTAGAACTCTTTTACTCGGAGTTCTAGGAACTCTGTTTCTTCTTTTAACTTTTCATAACTAGGAAGAGGCTTAACTATTCCACCTGAGCTTGTGAAAGGTAAAGAGTAGTTCAAACTGTTTTCAGACTCCCCTACACCAACAGTGTTGAGATCATCAGCTGTATCTAAGTCATCCTCATCAAGTTCTTCAGTCTCCTGGTTGATAGACGCTATACACTCTGATGAGCACAAAGAAGTATAGTTTGGGCCATAGAGAAATTTTAAAGTTTCCTCAGTTCTCCATTCCGTAAGTGTTTGCCTAAGCACTTCTAATAAACTGCCTTTGGAATTAACTGGATGCCTCAGTTCAGGGTTTTTATGTTCTGTTGACTTAGCTAGTGTTCTTTTAAGATGTTCTGCTCCTCTTTTGCTCACACCTAGAAAAACTATCTCTGATCCACATGTATTTTCAAAGATTTCTGAAGCACTTGATTTCCCAGGAGCAGTGTTGTCTGAAGGTGGTGCAGTTACTTCATTATGAACAGAGAAAGCATGTCTTTCTTCCTGAGTGTCTAATTTACAATGAGATAGCTGTTCAGTGGCTTCTATTACATCTGCATCTTCAGTTTTAGAGCCGGTATGGACTTTCTGAGAATGCTTCTTTTTGAGGATGCTTTTTCTGTGCAATTGCTGTGCAAAACTGGCTGAACTTGACTGACTTCCTGGTAGGACAGAAGAAATAAATCCTTGTTCAGTATCAGTACTGCTGTCACTGGCTGTGTCATGAGAACCAGATTCGCATGGATCTGAAGATATCCTAGGATTTTCAATATCAGATGCTTTAATCACTTCATCACGTAGTTTCACCTCTTCTCCAGACCGTCCACTACAATAAAAAACACAAGCCATCAGTGAAATAAGAAATGGCTTTTATCTGCAATAGCTTTTCATTCTCATGTAAGAATGATTAACAAACCATTTGCCCCCCTTATAGCAGAAGTGTAATTTTTTACTTTAAGAATTGTAAGTCCTCTTCTAAAAGTCTTTAACTCTAGGAGTTGTACTATTCTATAATCAAAATGACAAGTATAGAGACTATTTAGAGAAGTGAGTTCTCAGTTTATGATTGGTAGTTAGAAGAGTATAAACAATATATTATTAAAGACAGCAGAACAATGTCAGACTTAGCATCATGAATGGTGCAAATTTAAAATTAAGACAGGCATGTTAACATATATAGGGAAATAGTACCCTTAAATCATGCTTAAATCAGGATTAAGCTGAGCTGTTTCAGCATATATAAGTTTGCCACCTAATGGCAATGTGTTGCAAAAGAAAACAAACAGAAAGGTGCACAAGGCACAGTGAGGTACAGCGAGATGACAGAGTAGCGTGATTTCTTTTTGGCTCATATAGACCTTTTAGATTAAGAAGTACAGAAGCTTTCATCACATATAATTGGCACAATTTTTTTAATAAAGAATAGATGGCATAAAATATTCAAAGTACAAACAGTGTATTTGTTTCAGATTTCAACAGGCTCAATTAAGACACACAATCCAAGAGCAGCTGTACAGTAAATTATACAGATCAAATTTTCTGGGCTGGAATCACAAAGGAGAAAACCTTTGCATAGGTTCTGGTAAGGTCTTTTTTATAACACAACAAATCAAAGATTCCCTTTGTGTCTGCTATGATGCTAAAATTTCTAGCTATAAGTGCATCTAATGAAAAAAAGAAATTGTTCAGCGTACCTCCGTCCCTCCTTCAGCAGCTCTATGTCTGGTGGTCTGGAAAAAGAAGACAGAATGAATGTTTTCCTGCTAAATGTAATCTCTTGAAATACACATAAATACAAAAAGAATTGACTTTGGAAGGGACATCTGAGGATCATCTACTCGAACACCCTCTGTTCAAAGCAAAGCTAGCAAGAGCAGGTTTGTGCACGTGTTCAGGGAACGTGACTCGTGTGCCTGCAGCACAAGGCTGTTACAGTGAACAATTTAACACAGTCACCACGTCACACAAAGGCTTGTCAGAAAGGACCTCTGGAAGGCTCTAGTCTGATCTGCCTGAAATGCAACTCTCACCAGCACTAGCTTAGGTCAGCCATAAATTCATGAAGTTTAAATCTTGAAAACCTCCAAACATGGAAATTTCAAAATATTGCTGAGTATCCTGTTTCATTCCACCATAACCTTAGTACAATATTTTTCCAAATGCCCAATCTGAACCATTCATGTGATTATCTGTGGCCATCAACCAAAAATAGGCTTTGTAATCTTTCTAAGTTTTTTCAGCTAGTTTTACACTGCTTTCAGATCTATTCTTCAAACAAGTGAACATGCCAAGATCCTCATAGATCATACGGTTCCTGTAGTAAAGACAATTCTGGGCTATTTACAGGAAAATGTACCAATTAATGCAAAATATGAATATTCATGATTTTTAACTTATTTTAAATTTTACTTTATTAAAAATTAGGCCATCAAGTTATATTTTTTTAAAGAAAATGGTTTTCAAAGGCTTCCAGAAACTAAAAATATTACTAAACAAATTCCAACGAGTTTCTTACCAAAGCCCTACTTGCAATTAATCTACTTCAGTTCTGAGGCATCATGACAGTCCTATTCCTCTTACCCAATACCAAATGTTAAAAATCTCACATATCCTATGACTGAAAGAAAACCTTTTAAACAAGCACTAAATGCAAGTCAGTGTACTAACACCTTTCAGTATGTAAAAGATCCTGCAGGAAAGCCACTCATATTAATAAACTAAATTTGGAAACTGAAGGTGATAACAGAGTGATTTATATTACTAGCTCCATATAATTCTTCTGTGGAGTTTTAAGTGGAGGTTGCAGTTTTTTCTATCAAAGGAATTTCAAATATTCTAGTATGTCAGTGTGTATGGGTGTGTGCACATGTATGTGGTTGTGCGAAGAGGTGTAGCTAGCCAAGAACTATCTGGGAGTTTGTTTGTTTGTTTTTTGAAAATACCGCCTCCCCACCAGCACCCAGAATAAATAATTAACTATGTCAGACATAAAAGAACTATACACTTTTTATGTGAAGAATAAAGGGAGATTTTAGAAACAGTTTTCTTAAAGACAGCAAAACAATACCTCAAAAGCATCGGAAAACTTAAATGACAAGTCTAGTTTTACCTACTAGAATACCTCAGATCTGATGGGGCTGCTCTAAAGCTCTTCTGTCATTGATGATATATTTCATTTGACACATATAACTCCAGCTAGTTTCTTTTGTTGAAACCCAGGAAACTATGAGAAACAGTGTCTTGGAGAATGACAGCTGAGTAAATTTGCTGAACATTCTCTATGCCAGTCTTTGTTGTTCAACAGTGACACCCATTGGCTCCATTGACTATTTGCAAGCCCATGTTTTCTGAGATGGGAACATGGACTGCATACTGTTCCAATATGCGTATTGCAGGAAGAACAAGAAATGGCCAATCAGAAATTCAGACTGGATATAAAACCTCTTCATGTTATAGATTGCTTTCAGATGCAAGCATTCATTGTCTACGCTTAAGATCAATGCTAAGTGCTATGCTAAAATTAGAAATCTCTTGTAACAGTGTAAGATTATTCCAACCCATTTGTAAAAATTCAATCCTAGTCAGTCCATTTTAAAGTTAAAGGACTTAATTATTATTTCTGACTAGCCTGCCCTCTAAACTAACATGGTCACGTCTGCTAAGTAGATGAGAGTAGTACTGAACCAGGCCAATTACTGTAATCCATACAGCTTCAACACTTTTAGAACAGACACCATGCTAAGCTAATATGTCAACATCAGCTACCTCTGCTTCAGCAAAATCATTTTGATGTGCTGCAGCTCTTAATTACCACTGTAGACACATAGAGAAATAGTATTCTCAAAAGGTGTATTGAATGTATAGGATTATACTTACTTTTCTTCTTCTCTCATCCACACTGGACTTTTGGAAATTTGAGCTTCAAAATATTTAGATGCTCTATAGCAAAAATTGCTGCAAAAGCACTGGCAACGAGAGAAAGCAAGAACAACTAAGACGAATACACAGAAAGGTACAAAAGTAATTTATTTTAATGTCTGTAAAATTAAGTACCAATTAATGTTTCTTTTCAAGCCTGTGGCCAGGTTTTTAGTTCACCTGAGAAACCCAACCTATCAAATAGGTCTATCCCCTTCTGCACAAGCCACATTCAGCTGCTTCTTTCCTTTCCATTTTTCTGCTTCCTGAACTTTTATTACACACTGAGAAGCAAACCAGTGTTGGATTCTATGCAATAATAATAATTTAAAAAAAACCCCAACAAATCAAACTGTTCAAAGAGGAAGCCATAACCCAATATGCTGTTCATACACTTTGAAAGACACACAATAAAATTCAGATGTTTAATAATGAAAATTTTGGTTAGCAACAGAACTCGCTATTTTGTAATACTTAGAACAACACCTAAAAATCTGCAGCATCTTTGAAAAATTGATTTGCAAACTTGCATTACAAGGGAAGAACACAAAGTATCCCACATCTTGTTGGAGTCTTGCCTGATTTCTCATGAAAGCAATTACTAAAATTTTGTGTATCCCAAAGTTTTAATCAAAGGAAAGGAATGCATGCTAGTGACACTGAAGAAATTTGTTCTGTAACTGGAAACGCTTATGTTACAATTTAGTGTCTACGTGCCTGTAGGTGATTGTGTATCCTGTGAAATGGCAAAGATGACTTATGCAACCACCTGTGAACATGCTTCCAGAAAGAAACATTTTTTGAAGAGTTAAGTTTTATGTTGAAAAGTCCTCAAAAGAGAAACCTAAATGTTCCCCAGAAAAGAACACTAAGGGATATGTAACATGTAACTTGTACTACATTACTGCAGACTTCAGTGATTGAAAAGGATGTGCACTTTGACCGTACTAAAGCTCACTAACTATGCTGGAGCAAAATAAAGAACACTTCACAAATGCCTTTAACAGAGCACCTGTGTGACTTTCAAATGGCTATCCAAGTAAAATTTTCCATCTTGTGTTTAAACTTTGAAAACACGTGTATTTTGTCTCACCAAAGATATCATCTAGGAAGTGAAATGCACAAAAAATTTCAACAGTTTGTGAAAATCTTTTTCATAAGAACCAAACATATTTGTCTCTGAATCAAGCCATTATATATGAATGCTGTTACAAAATGCATTTCTGATGTTGCCAGCATTAAACACATTCTAGAAATACACTTGTTACCATACCTTTCTTTCAGTGATATCATAAACTCTGTTCGTTTTTGTTGAAATTCTGTACTTCTGCTTTGGCACCTAAAATAATATAGTTTAATCAGCAAGACTGTCAGTTCCATCATGACTACAGAGAAAACTTCATTCTTAGTTCACGTATGTGGGTATGTACAAAATATTATATTTAACTGAAATGCATACTACAACCACCTCAGTTCTTCTGATGTTGCACCTTCTCAGATGTAAGAATGGCAGTTTATCTTTAATCATACACATCTCATTAATCAGTAAAAGGTAGTTCCACAGCTATAAGAAAACCAATGCTGAACATAAAACAATGTTATGGCAGAAGCTTTCCTCATGAGTAAGTGCTGAGCAATTACAGACAAGGCCTTCCTTAATCCAGATCTATTTATATGCATACGAAACTGAACTGTCAGACCTGAACCACTACCCAGACATACCCAGATGAACCTATGCAAACTGTTAACAGTTTTGAAATTAATATCTGTGCAAAGAGATAAAGACAAAACAGTAAATTGTTTTGTACATGAGTAGAATGTTTTCAGATGTTTTAATGTGTAGCACTGGTGTTACATCACAGGTTATCTAACTGACCTCTGAGTTCTGCTTAAACTCTCATGCATCATACCTAAAGAGGGGTGACTTTCATATTGACACAGCTAATATACATTTTCATAGGAGATATATATGCATTCACATAATAATATCCCTGCATTGTATTGTTTTTTCACTTTAATCCTTCTCATAGACATCTGTTGCTACACTGACAGAAGAACAAGATTTCAAAGTTTTTCCATTCACAAAGGAAGGCCATGAAGCCACCACTCGTTCATCTTTATCCCTGTCAGAACAGACAGATGGATTGTGATTCTGATCATACAGTAACTGATTCTGGCATACAAGAACTGCTGTCTACTGATGAAATTTCACCTTTCACTTCAGAAGGATTATACTGAAATATATAATGCCTGGCTCCTTACTTGACAGTAATCTGTGCTTAATATTCTAAGTTTAAAATTAAAAAAAAAAAATGCAAGACAATAAAAATTGTGAAAACATTCCTTTGATAACACCATTAAGGAAAAGCAACTTACATTTTCCAGTCTCTTCTGACATAGAGGATAACCACATAGTTTGATGATAGATCGCTCATCAACAACATCTTTATAGTGAGATGGAGTAATACTTTTTCCCTAAAATGACAAGAAAATAGTTCAACAACAGATACTGGAAAACTTGCCAGTTTTTGTACTCAAAACATCTCTTAAGCATGTAAATACCTTAAATTTTATAACAGCTATCTATTAAGTTTAATAAACAATACTGAGAACCTACACAGTAGAAAAGGTAAAAGGGTAAATAGGGAAGGAAAACAGACCCAGGCATTTCTTTTTTGCATATACAAAACCTTCACATTTTTGCCTCTATTTACGTGCTGTGTACACCTATTAATCAGCCTATTTACAACCTTAACAAGAATAATCATCATACCATTCCAGCAGAACTCTGCTGCCAGATAACTGTGGTGCTTTATAGAGACTTTGTGTAAATTTACAGACGGTATGATGTAAACCTAAATTTTTACAGTTCATCTGTCAGTCCAGAACCACAGAAGTATCAACATGGGCTCTAAAAAGAGTGAGGATTCATTAATGTACACAGTCCTGCAAAACTAGGGCATGTTTTCACTGCAGAACCCTTAAAAATATGGAGACTATTATCAGAGCTGGTAGAAGAAGGAATCAATGGTTTGGCTATTTTAAACTGTAGCAAGTTATTCCAAAATCTGTTAAAAAAGTACCACACTAAGATACAAAACAGTAGAAAAACTTGCAACACCTACACAATTTAGAAGGAACTCTTCAGTAATGTCCTGTTCCAGGAGCTGCTCAACAATAGACAATGCTTTTTTCTCACATTCAATCTTCTTTCTCAGTGCAGCCTCCAGAGCTGCTTTCCTGTAACAGAACAGAAACTGAATGATACAGAGGGCAGATTTCCATAAACAGTTCTCAAATTATATTTTTATCTTTTTTTCTGAAATACAGCTTACATTTTTTTGTATCACACCATGTTGGCCAAACAAAGCAACAAGTAACTGGACTAGTAATTCTGTTGCTACAAAAACAAATACCTCCTCCTGAGCGGTTTTTAAATGAAAATAATTATAAATGGCAGAAGTTATGTAAAGAAGTTAGGACAGCCAAAAGCAAGAACTACAGGCTAAGGAAATACAATTTTGGACATTAGATTACGAACTTTTATTATATTATGCCATGCTCAGATGTGCATGCTGTTAGAAGTTACACAGCACCTCTCCAAACATGTCCTACATGATGCTGATGCTGGTGATTTACTGAAGTTAATCGCGGTACTCTGAGAAAGCAAAGCCTCTGCAGCACAGAGACTGCAATTTCAAAGTGAGCCAAAACAACACAAATATCTCATATTATTCCTCAGAAATTATACCTTTGAGCAGCATCTTCATTTTTCTGAGCAGCTGAATGCTTATTTCCTAAGAATCAAATATACAGATATCAAAATTAGTGTACTTGCTTAACAGCAGATGTTGGAACCTGAAAAATATGAAAACCTCTAAACTGTAAGCACAACTAAGATAATTTCTTATTATTGCTTTTGCTGGCTGTGATTTCAGTAAGCTGGTATTCAGCAACCAGACACACTTTAAAAAGTGTGAAAACAGACAGGCCCAACGCTTCTTATACTCTCATTCACCACGTTCTGTATGCACAAAAAAGAGAAAACATTCTGACAATGGCGTTGTGCCAGCCACACCCCCCGTCTCTCCAGGCGGTAAAGCCCAGTTTTACCGCGGCGCCCCACTGCCGTCCCCACGGCTGCCCCGGGGCAGGGCTGAGCCAGGGGCCAGGTCCAAGCCTGACACAGAGCCGCTCCCTCCCGGGACGGCGCCCGGCCCGGCTCCCCTCCGACACGGGCAAAGGCAGGGACGCACCGGGCTGTCACCCTGGCAAGGACGCAGCGCCGCGGGCAGGGCTCGGCGCTCTGACGGCACGACCGCCGCCACAGCCCGTCCCCGATGCTCAGAGCCGCCGCCCCGGCCCCTCACAGCCCGAGGGCACGGCGGGTCCTGCCTCGCCCCGTCCGGCGCACCGCTCATCGCGGCCCCGCACCCGGCCCGGCAGAGCCCCGCAGAGCCCCGCAGAGCCGACCACGGCCGGCCCGCGCTCCCCTCCGCTTGGCTTGGGCGACACCGCCGCCGTGCCGTCCTGCGGGCACAGGGAGAGCCCAAAGCGCAGCCGGGGGGGAGCGGGGGCTGGCGCGCGGACCCCGGCGCCCACCTGCGCGCCGCCGGCGGGACTTGCCCGCCGCGGCCGCCATCATCGCCATCAGCGCCGCTCCGCCCGCCGACCTCTCACCCGGGGCGGGGCCGGGAGAGGCGGCAGCGCCGGGCTGAGGGCTTCCTCTGGCAGGGGCTGAGCTGAGCTGAGCACAGGCGGTGCCGTGCCCTTGTGGCTTGTAATTCAGCCGTGTGTTACAGGCTTTAGCTGGCAGCCTTTTCGTCCCATCCTGGCTGTTGTACCGCCCAGAGAAGGGGCTGGGGTATCTGTTTATTAGAAGAGAGTTTGGTGAGTATTAATAGAACGTTTCACATGAGTCAGACGCTGCTCACTTGCCGCTGAAACCTCCTAAAAGATTCACTTGTAAGCCGGATTAAGTATTAAGGCCGGAGACCATCTGCGAGCTCAGCCAGCAAATCCATGCAACACGGTGGGTGCCTGGGACGCGTTTCAAGGCTGTAAGTACATTGTCAAGTTACTGAGGGCTGCTGTTCGAAAGTATGTTAAATTGTTTTGGCGGGATTAGTAATAGTCTGTAAAATGAAGAGTTTAAATAGTACAAGATGTGGTAAGAAAGTATGTGGTAATGATCTCGTTAAAATGACAGGCTAAAAAGGATAGGTTTCAGTGACATACAGGTGTCAGAATGGGCCCTGAAGAATAGGAAGTGAGTTGTTTATTCTTTGAATAAAGAAGGTCATACACAGATGCCTTTTAAGCTTTTGTGAGTTGTCGCCTCTTGTGAGCGTCTAGATAGGTTCATTATCTGTGTGTTGTCTCATTTAGGTGTGCTGGCATTTGGCCAGCGTCAACCCACCACTTTAGGTAAAACTAAGAAGAAAGGCTCAGGACATTGCATGGAGATGCCTGTTTTGATGAATAGTTGCCTAATTAACCAGGTGTAGGGGTAATTGACAATCATAGTGATAATATAACCAGGTTTAGGTCCATGGCATTACTTAAAACCATAAAGATTATGACTGCTGCTATGATATATCACATGGGATAACCAGGCTTGATTGCATTTTTAATTCATGAGCCTGGCTACATAAAACTTGGTACATACTTGACATTACTCAAGTGTATAACTTTGTTGTTTTTAGCAAGAAAGTTTTAAATTTTAATACCTAGAGGTAAAAAGTCACTGCACTAGTCCCACCTAGACACTAGAAAGAAATAAGTGAAACTGCATATGTAATCTTCACTGGACTGTTGATATAAACAGGCATGGTGTTTGAATCAGTGCCTTCACATACCAGATATCGGGTTAGTGTGTTCCAGTCAGGGCTGAGCAGAAGCTCCTCTGGTCAGAATAGGCACAGAAAATGTAGTGTGTCATGGGTGTGCCTCCTTGGCATGCAGTGAGCCCAGACTTGCTCTGTGTTAGCTGCAGTTTTCCATGTCTGTGCCTGCAGTAGTCACTGAAACCTTCACACTTCTTAAGATGACCCAGATAGTACTTGAAAAATTATTTCCCTGTACATAGAATGCATGTTGTTTCCTGCCTGTAATACTGTTTCCTGCAAATATGGGGAGTAGAATAATATAGCATACACTTAGTAAAAATGAATTTTCCCTTATTTGCTAATTATGTAGTCTTTATATTTGTCTAGATTGTTCTTGTTCCCCCATTAACTTTTTTTTTTTTTGATAATGTGATTATTTTTCAGCCTCTGTTTTAAATCCGTGTAATATAATACTGCCCTCTTTAATTTATAATAAATTTTCATGCTGGAAGAACACAGTCAAACTAAAATGGCAGTTGATGAACTTCAAGACATAATACAAAGATGTGTAAGTAGTTTTCCTTCCTTAGAAGTAACAAGTGTCAGTAGTGCGAGTTTCTTTTCATATATTAGAATTAAAACCAAAATGACCTCAAAAAACAAGTCCACTGTTAGTAGAACTCTTCATGGAACAGCTAAGTTGAGCCTCCATGTTTCATTACCTTCTCTGTGGTGCTTATTCCAAGATGCTTGATTATTTCTGCTTCTTGGAGAAGGAGGTGTGTACCTAGGAACAAAAGCTGGTAGTTGTAGAAAACACATCTTCCAAACAGCAAGCTGTAATGTAGACTTAGTGCTATTGAAATACTGCCCTGTCTTCTGTAGTAACTTGGTAGCTTTTTTAGCAAGTTAAAAATGTATAAAAGTTACAATGATATTACATCTAATTTTGAAATGAAAGCATGGATTTTCTTATTTCTTAATTGACTTTGCTAAGTATGAGGTTAAACATTCATATTTTCTTTCTAGCAAATTCTGGAAGAAGCTGATTTCAAAGGAGAAGATTTCAATCTGTTTCAGGTAGCAGGTCAGAAATGTTTGGAAGATGGATATGCAGCTCAGTTATTAGAAGTAATTCAAAATGAGAAAAACAAGGTGAGTTTAAGTTTGCACTGCTAATTAAGAGGGGAAAGCTACTTTCTCTGTGGAGCAAGGCTGTACATAAGAGTAGCTAATAAGTTGCCCTGTGTTAAGTGCCCATTATTCTGTATTCAGGTATCTTACAGAAACCCAAGTCACGGTAATCTTAACAAAACCATTAATAACTCTTCTGGAGTGAAGCAAAGAGAAAAGGAAGTAGAAAAGCATAATTAGGAGAAAGTGGCATGTCCCACTTCCACAGGATGGGGATTTCAGATGGTGTACTAGGTCTGGCTGGCATGGAGTTGGCTTTCATCATGGCACACTGCATAGTGCTGTGTTTTAGATTTGTGACCAAAAAGGTGCTGATAATACATCAGTGTTTCAACTACTGCTGATCAATACTTGTGCAGCATCAAGGCCTTCTCCCTTTCTAACTCTGCTCCCAGTAAGCAGGGAATTTGGGAGGAGACACAGCTGGGACAGCTGACCCAAAGCAGTGAGATACTCCACAGCATACAACATTGTGCTCAGCAGTAAAGACGTGGTTGGGGACCCATTCCGAAGTAGCTGTTGTTTGGAGGCTGGCTGGGCATTGGTCTCATTGTGGGAGTTGATCTGCATCATTCTCCATCATGCTCTGCTGTCTTTTGTCTTTCACTTATTATTTTATTACTTTATTATCTTCAGAGTTCCTCTGTTTTGCCCTTTTGATTCTCACCACTATTCCCACTGAGGGACAAGAGCAAGCAAGCGGCTTAGGGGTGCTTAGTTGCTCTTGGGGGACAGCCTACCACAAATGGATATAATAATATTGACCGACTGTAGGAGCCAACTAGGCTGATGCTAATCTGAAATACTGATGTCTGTGGGTATTAGGGATGCTGGGACAATATACCAAACTGAGCAGAGATAAATAGGAAATTCAGAAAGAAAGGCAGGGGCAGAATATTTTAGCAATGTTGCATGGAGTTCAGAATCTGTTACATGGGTTTCACAATCTGGTTTTGAATTTTGTGAGTTTGGAGTAACAACTGAAAATCTAAATCCCTTAATGAATAATTTTTTCAAGTGTTCTTTCAGCAGAACTCCTCTGCTCAGTCCCATTTTAAATGTATTGTCATGCATGTTTAAAAGTATATATTGGCATGTTAATAATTAGAAGAAAACTATACAAAACATGCACCTGTGTTTATAGGTATGGGGACAGAAAAGAGTGTGTGTCAAATTATGGTAACAGTTGCTAAATATTCAATGATAGTGACTGTAATGGTTACTGTCCAGGACACTGATCTGTTGTTGTCTTTGGTCTTTATATACACAATCTTTCTGGGTTTAGAAGACATCCAGCTTTGGTTTATTCTTCAATATCTGGTTTTTAGGTTATCATCAAGAATATGGGTTGGAATCTCATTTCTCCTCTTGTTAGATGTATTTTTATGTACAAACAAGAAGATGATAAGCGAGAACACTGCCTGAGGATACTAGATCAGTTGGCACAGGTATGGTACATGATTATGATACAATAATGTTAGGGAAGTTCTGCACAAAAAGGGATGCTAGATCATTAATCCATGAAGATAGTACACCAAAGGCCAGTTACACGTTTATACAATTTGATTCTGACAATATTTGCATAATATCTACATCACTACTTGGGTAAGCTGCTCTTAGTTTAACATTCCCTCACCTCAATTGAAAGGTACAGAGAATTCTATGCATGGTGTGTGTTCAGTGGGTAGGGCTCTTTGTTTGGAATTGGTAGGCTCAGCCTCAGAGGTATGTTTTTCACATGAAAATGAGCTAAATTAATCTGAAGGACACAATTTAATCTGAGTTAGCTAGCTTGAGTAAAACTTACAGTATGTTGCTAAATGTGTTTTCTAGTATCTAATTCAAGGTCTCTCTGTTCATGTTCTCTCTTTAGTTGTTTCAAAACTGTTCTGCAAGACCTTGCCATTTTCCACTTATCTCTGTCTGAATAGTATTTATTGTTCTCTTTTCGGTGATTCACTTGGAAAAGTCTTATTCACCCTTCCTCAAATGAGAATCATTACCTGATGATTCTGATGGAGTAGAAGCAGAAAAATATTTTAACCTGTAAAAACTTATTCTCTTTCATTTATGCACTTCAAAACCAACTTGCAAACTTTATAGCTTGAGTTAAATTCCGACTCAAATTCTACTTCTCTCTTTGCTCCTGAAGATCAATTTGCAAAGGTACTCTGAGGTTTTTACAGCCTATTAAAATCAGGTTTAGTGTCAGTTTTTATGATTATATGTTTTCAGCTCATATGAAAGTGTACATACAGGTATGCTCTACAGTAGATGTTAATTGTAGGCATGTACTTATGGTTTCATATTTGTTTTCTTAAATCTAATCTTGGATGTTCAGATCTTCTCTCTTGACATTCAGGAACTTCTGTATTGCATGTGATTTATTTTTTTTTATTACGACCATGATTATTTAAAAATACGAATTGTTCCTCTCTTGCAGCTTTGCAATCCAAAGGAACTTTTTTTGGGTTTACTTGAGCAGATTGAGCAGACCTCTGGAGAGCAAGTGTGTCAAACTGTCATGTTATTGCTTCAGCCTTTGCAGACAGGTGGGATTAAGTTTATTTTGTGATTTCTGAATTAAATTATTTTCTCATTTATTTATAATTTTATTTTAGCCTTTGCTGGAATGGTTT